CAGAACAGAGCGTACAGCAATGCTGACAACAATCCCAACCGTGCGAATGTTAAACTCATTTATCTATCATGTCTCCTACCTGATCAAGTCTAACTAAAATGAAGTAATACTGAGTGAGAACTCCCGAAATTTCATAATTAGATATTCAGAAAACACCGTTGCGTATATTTATATTATCTTACAAAAGTAAATTTTTTACACCACGTCTTTAAAAAAGGTTTCGGAAATTTTTAAACGAAAGAATTTCTTATTCCTTTTTGGGTACGAAAAGATAGTCCAAAAGTCCCAAAATTGACGCAGCAAATTGACAGCATAAAACGGGTACATGCTCTAAGTTTTCATTATTCATATATGTATTTCCTATTTAAACAAACCATTTGTTAAATAAATGCAATTATGTTGTAGCGAAACTATGCAAAGTTACACTAGACTAATCTGTTATTTTAGAAGCTCATATGTTGAACTTTAAAAATTCTAGAATATCTCGCCTCGCTGTGATCGTTCGGAATACGTAAACAACAAAAATCTGAGGCTCTATGGGAATATAAATAAAACTCAGTACAATTTAAAAACTTAGACCGCTTATTCTTTTGAGAAACTATAGATAAGAAACATAGATATTGTATATATAAAAGAGTAAGAAATAAAAAAAAAGATTAATAATAATAATAATAATAATAATTCTTTATTTTCTATAAATAGGGTAGGTTACAATGAAGTGGATAGTTGTCCTCAATAACGTACTTAGACCTATTTAGCCATATTATTTCATTAGCATGCAAATGTCAGTTCAACTGGATTACAAAACAATGTCCATTTTAAATATTAATTAAGATACTAAACATTTTTAATTTAATTACATTTATTGAAATAATTTTGTGAATTGTTAACTTTTACATAATTAAAAACTACTAGAACATTTAATTAAACTCTGCATCGACCACAACTATGCTATTCCTTGTGATTTAAAAAATCTTCCACTTTATAGAAGGTATGGTTCAACAGCCATCGACGTAACAATGTTTTGAATTGCTTCATAGGGAGGGCTTTAAATTGTAATGGTATTTTATTGTATATATTTTGGCACATACGTCTGGTGCTATGTTACAAATCGACCTGATACATCTCTTTTGTGCAATAAATGATTTTGAGAATATCAAACAAAAGTTTTTTTTTCGAATTTAGAGGCAATAGTAAATTATCGCCTATTAGTCTCTATAAATTCTAAAAAATATATACTAAAACTTCACTGTCTGTCTGTCTGTCACCAGGCATGTCATGAGCCGAGAAAAGTTAGACTGTTAAATTTAGAATTTTTTACAGATCATAAATTCCTACTATCGTTTCATCAAAAAATACTAAAAACCAGAACTAAATAAATATTTAAAGGGGCTTCCATATAACAAACATATTTTTTTTTTGCTGTCACCAGGTTATATCTCTATAATCTTCACAGATGATGTATTTCTGTTGCCGTTATAACAACAGATACCAGAAAATAAAAATAAAAAAAAAAAATTATGAGGGCTCCCATGCTACAAATGTGATTTTTTTTCGCTCGTTTTCGATACGGAACTCTTAGTGCGCGACTCCAACTCGCTTTTGGCCGGTTTTTTATTACATCTTAAAACATTTACAGGGAGAATAATGAAGCTTTTCATGGATGTTATTGCTGGGGGCTAATTGACTGATTTTAAATCTATTGCAATCCCTTTCAATATGACATTTAAAAGGTATTCACGATTTTCACGCTACAGCTATTTGACATGCGGTTGTGGTTGCAATTGTGACGTTTGTGTGAAAGATCTGACTCATCTAAAACAAGTGGTAGAAGCAAATACGTTTTGAAAGAAATGACATACAAAAGAGTTCAATACTAACTGCAATCTTTCGACTGGTTAGCTAAGTTTTTATTATGTTTCTTGTTCATTGAAATCATCATTCGTTCCAAAAACAATTGCGTAACTGCCACAATCGCTATACCTTTGCGAGGGATGGCTATAGATTTTAAATTAGACAATAAGCCAACAAGGTCTACTGCCGTATATTTACGAACTGTTAGCATAGATTTTCTTGCTTGTTTACAGTCTAGATTGAATAACAATATGGATTTGATTTGAATGATTTATTTTCGCGTTACTTAACCATAAAAATACAAATGCCATGTTATATCAAAAATATTCTTTATCCATTGCCGTATTTTAGCATGACCGTGCCTATTCTGACAGACGTCAGTAATCAATATGGCGGTGCTAGAACTGACGGGTTAAAAATGGGCCACTCACTTTGTTTGCCGTTCGGTAAAATTAATGGTCGATTCCCTTATCTTAGCTAACGCCGGCAGCTGAATGCGAATGAGCCTCTATGATGGATCCACGACCTTTTTTGAGGTTGAGAACGTCTAATATTAATTTTATTTTCCTCTCATTTGTAATGCTATTATAACAGAACGCTGAACCCCTGATAAATTTGTATTGACTTGTTTACTGTTTTCTTCGTGTAAATCATCTTTTTAATTTACTTTGGACGAATGATAACGTACCATTATCCACAAGTAAACCCAGCGTAGATTGGTTGATAATAAATGCAGATGTAGTCGTGTCCCTCAAATTAATTGCTTATTCACAATTGGGTTCACTGGCGAGGTGCGGGCGATCTTTACAAGTCACTGAATTGGTCTTTAAACCAATGATCAACCAGTAAAAATGTGGCACAGAATTCGACCACATTTCACATACGGAATCCACCGATCAACATAAAGGCGCCATAATGTGTCTTATAAAGCACTGAGGAGCCCGAGACAATTTCTTCGTCAAACACCTAAAGACCTTTGCGAAAGTTGTTTAAGCTTTATAATTCATTGCCAACTCTTAACATATGTAGTATTTTGTATAACATGCCATAAAGCTGATTAAAGTCAAATTTAATAGCTCGAGGATTCATATGGTGTATCTATTGTTTACCGACGTTAGAATCACGTTATAACAATATCTCACAAAGTTCTTGGAATCACTGGAATCTCGTCAAAGTAACACAAGTGAGGGGGTAGAAGAACTAGGGGTGGGGGTGTCACCTATTCGCGCACCTCACCCTGACACTCTCTACGTGATCAAAGAACTTTTCCTTCAGATTATGACGTATCGTTCTTTACATAAACGCTTAATCTTTGCGGGGAAATTACCCCCATAATACACTTCCTCCTATTATTCTCAGAGACCTTCAAGTGAGGAAATAATAAAGAAACGCTCTCTAAAAAGTTTTTATTATTGTCGCTTTAAAAGTCTCCTTTGTAAAACATCTAAACAAGGCTAGCCGCCATCAAATTGGCTTTGAAACATAATTGGAGGTTCTCTTGGACAAACTTTGTTTTAGTTTCATTAATCTTTAAAGTTCATTCATTACTGGGATTGAGGTAGGACAGTCGTGTATTATTATTCTCTTTTGTTTAAATTTATGGTGAAATGCTGACTTGACTCAATCATGGATATTCAATTGATATAATAGCTTGGCAAATAGTTTCTTCACATTTTATATGAAAATTGAAAACATTTTTAATAAAGTTTATTTACATTTAATTAAAGTACATAGGTATCATTTTGTTCGATAACTTTTTGTCATCTTGTAAATAGTGACATTATCCCAAAGCTATACAAATTTTGAGGCTTCTGAATAAAAAAACTGCGGCAAGTGGATTTGGCAGTCGTCGCGTGATAGTAACCTGACACTTTCCTAAAGAATTCTAAAAAGACCGAAACAGATGGACATCTGAAGGTGCAAGGTCAAGACTATACAGAAGATGCATTAATTTATGCATTAAGAATTTGACTGGGAGGTGTCCCAGCCAAATTCTTTTAATTTTTGCTAAGTGGCAAAATATGTGTGAGGTCTAGCGTTATCATGGTGTAAAACCACACCCATTCTGTTCACCTTGTTGCGAGTAAAATGTGTTTTAAGCGTTTTCATCAAAATGAAAACGCTTAAAACAAATTTGTGGCACTCTTGCAGAAATTGCATTAGATCACAGTTTTTGTCGCGACTTGCGTTGCACATCGTCGCAAAAAAATAAAAACGGCCGTACCATACTTTTCTCGAAGACATTTGGGCCATTTTTACCTATGGTACCTATGTATGTCAAAGTTATTTGTATTATATTGTTGTATACTATAGTATAAATTATTTAATTAGTCACTGTTTGTATCCTAATAAACAAATAAAAAGTAAAATAATGTTAAGGCTAAAATTTTTTACTTCATTTAATTCAAATCAGCACTGGAAAAGCTTACCGGATTTTTGATTCGGTAACATTAAATGAATTTTCTATTTATAAAGTATTTGCTAGAACTCGTTTTTTTAAATCGGGCTTGAACGTAATTACTTTTAAATGTGAATACTCTCTAGCAATTTGAATAACTTATTTTTATTACTGGCAAAGGAATTAACTACGCTGGTTCAAATGAATTTCTTTGTATTTTGGTCTGGCATTAATTATCCTTGAAACAACATCAATGGTAAATACCTTCAATATAAACATGGACAGAGTTCAATATCTAATTTAAATTAACAATCTTCCCCGGCTTGTTTTACGCACGAGTGCAATTTACGTGTAGTAAGTTTTATTTTATAATCAAATTTCAATTTATTTTATACAAAATTTTGGAGTGAAATTGGATCTAACGGGGTTTAGCTAGTTATTATTTTTGGTTTGTGATCTTCATTTGATTTAAACTAAACTATGAAGACGAAACTAAACGAAAGAATATTATAGCTGAACTATTACAAAATATTAAAAAAGATTAACCAAATCACGACGTTCAGATTGTTAACTTATGACAGGTGGTTATGACATTTATCATTGTGCATGCATTCAAAATTTTCGTGTCATAAGCATATGTTTATTATAAAGTCAAACGAACAAAAATTACCTATACGTGATTTATTCAAAACATTATCAAGTTCGCAAGTCAATACATAATACTGATGCCAAATAATTTTGTTCACAGGTCGTTGAAGATTGGAAATTCATGTCTATGGTGCTGGATCGGTTCTTCTTATGGCTTTTCACTATCGCCTGCTTCGTGGGCACATTTGGTATCATCTTCCAGTCTCCATCCCTTTACGACACGAGAGTCCCTGTGGATCAGCAGATATCTTCCATTCCTATGAGAAAAAATAATTTCTTCTACCCAAAAGATATTGAAACTATCGGCATTGTAAGTTAAATAGATTTTAAAAGTAGTTAATATATACTTATATATAATTACAGTTTCTATTTAAGATAATCATAACGTTAAAAATTATGAATAGAATAGATAAGGTTAAAAGATAATACGAGTTTAATATCTTTTGTTGTGATGGATGAACTCAAAATAATTATTTGCAAAATATTTGAATAATTCACAATTAGTAATGATTTATCTTTAAATGCGTAGTTTTATTAGAATTTATGAGTTATGTAAATTATGATCGTTAGGAAATATAAAAGCCTGGTGAGGGCAAGAGACAAATTGATCGTGGTTATCGGTAGGTGATATTAGTAGTCATTAAAATCGTGTGAAATAAAAAAATATGGACAACAAGGACCGGTCCTGAAGATATAAATAGATAGATAAATGAATGATTTAGTTGTCATTAATATACTCATATTTCAAAATATGGCCAGCTGCGAGAATAGCACAAATTCACTAGTTAGAAGTAATTAAAAATAATATCAATTAATATTATAATATACTTAACAATTATCGCATTAAATGGTTCTAAGTGTAGGTTAATATCTCTTTTTTATAACTATTGGTTCGATTGCTATTGCGTTGGATGAAATATTATCGATTGCTCCATTTTATTATATTTAGGCATTCAAATAATGTTAGCTATGTTTAATTGAAAGCTTCAATTTACAGATGTAACCAAAATATTTAACCAAAATTCCCTGTGCTGTTAGTTATTTATCGTATTTTTGTGTAATTACATACCTATGATAATATTTAATGTTTTTGGCTGTGAGTTTAAGTTTAAATAATTTATAAATAATTATGAGTAATAGCAGGTGATCTATTTGTGTGTACTTGACATTAAAGTGTCAAATTAACTATAATTAAAAGTAAAATCATAATAAAGTTAAAAAAATTACCAGCTTCCGTTTTATTTCTTTAAACATTCAATTCGGAAATTAAGACCAACAAATTGTCAGCGGAGTCAGAGCAAAGTTATCATTATTAAAATTTAGGTATACTACAATTTAACGTAAAGTACAAAAAAAAAAGATTTATTATTATAAGAATTTTATATTGTTTATGAATTAGGTCGTATTTCAACTAGTCTGGTGATAATATCAAATAAGCTGTATGGGCAGTCGTCGAGATATCTGTCACAGTTTCCCTTCTGTCCTTCAAGTTCCGCTTCATAATATTCATCATCTAAACCTTCTTCACGAGACGACGATGGCCTGTGGTAAAAAGAAAAAATATATTTATACTATCAGAAATTTCATTGGCGTCTACTAATAGTAAGTATCATAATCATAATCATCATCAGCCCTTGTACTGTCCCCACTGCAGGGGCACAGGCCTTCATTATGGATGGTTATGGAGGATCGACCATAATCCTCCACGCTGGCCCAATGCTGATTGGAGGGTAGTAACGACTTCAAATGCAGCCGGGACCAACGGCTTAACGTGCCTTCCAAAACATGGAGTAGATCGAGATACTAATTTTTGGTCATCCATCCCGTGACCGACCCTTACGATCGCTACTTAGCAAAAACATTCGGGGCCGCGGCGCTTATTCTTCTACTCCACCGAGTTACTCGTAAAAGTAAGTAGAAAACATAATATAAAAATAATGTTAAAAATAACAATAGGTCAACCAGATAACTCAACTAAAGGTATTATTATTATTGCATATCAATAAAAACAAGGACTCCGAACGATCGAAAAGGTAATTGATCGAAGTGACGCTTACGACGATATTTTTCTTTATCATTCTCTTTATTATTCTAAATTTTGCTAGATTTTAAGTTCCTATAAACACTTCTGGAGTTTCATACTCATGTAAAATTGGCTCTCAATTGAAGGTAATTTAATAAATGCGAACGTTACAAATTTGAGGACGTTAAGATCCTTAGTGCACTCATTAGCTTCTCTTTATTAATATCTAATTTCAGCGTGTCGCTTACACAGAGTTTTATTTCAAATTAGTATTGCAATATCACTTACGTGAAAATTATATGCATAATGTGTCCAAGCAATCCGTTGTGGTGTAGTGTAGTTTCCGCTGCTTCGCAAATATTTCGGAGCATGCATTCTCTACCCTGCATACCGTGTCTGGAATTTGTTAGGACATTTAACAAATTATATTTCCTACCGCCAATAAGGAAGCGGTGTAACATAAAGTAGGAAGTGGGATGAAGTATCGTATTTCCTGCTTATCGATGGATAGTTAAACTATATTTGCTGAGGAACAGATAAAATATACTAAGCTTATTTATTGTATATGGTAACTATCTACCCAGCGACGCGTTGCTGTGGCTCTTAGGATTAAATTATTTGTGATAAAATTCACCAAAAAACACATTTTTAAAGTTTGACCAAATTGAAAATGCACGTAAATATTGATTAAGATCGAATCAGTAGTTTCAGAGTTTATCTCAACAACACATCTGGACTCGCGATTTTAATATATATATATATATATACATATATATATATATATATATATATATATACATTTTGACTGAGTGATTGAATTTTAAATATGTCAAAATTCGAACAAAAGTATTCATTTGAAAAATATAAAAGAAAAATATATTTTGTTTTATCCCGGTTAAAATATGGAAATCCCGTATCTTTTCCCCTATTTAAGCATTTGTTCCTTGCAAGCTGAAAAAAAATCTGGCAACCCTGTTATAAACGTAAATTGGTTGTCGTTAACGCCTTATGGCAAATCTTCACAGCATTTTACATGAAAATACCTAGTACTTTAAGTAAAGCGAAAAAGTTAATATTCAAATAACTTTAAATGACGTAAAAAGATCGAACTTCTTATACTTTATTAAATACAAGAAAAATGTCTTTGTAAAGTAGGTACTTACTGTTTGAATCTGTTCTCTAGTACTGTATATACTAACTCTCTTGTGATACTTCGGCTTTGTCGGGAACTAATAAGCTGGAAATCGATAAGAAGGTATTTGGAATAAGTATAATCAATTGTACATTAGGTTTGATCTTCAATCGATTTTCAACCTTAACACCTTAAAAATTCAGTTTCTAATCGATCACAGTGAATTAATTTCGTAAGTTGATTCGTTACGTTGGTATTTAAATACAAACAAAACTTCACCCACTTCTGAGGTGAGGTTGAGGTTTTTAAAATTCATTTAGTAAGTCATTTATAACTCCAAAATTGTCTCACTGACAGATTTTCATCACAATGTAAGTACTATAAGATGAAAAAAATTCACGACTTTATGACAGTTGCGGATATTGATAGTTTATATGACATTTTTTTATTTGACGCGCATATATAGTTGGTATGTCACAAGAAGTTTATTTATAGGTTTCCTAATATGTTAGAATACGTATAGAAACAAAGTTAAACCATATAGCGGCCCTATGTCACTTGACCTTAACATTATATTTATTATATCTAAGGGAGTATGAGTTTCAGCTATTATATAATAAGAGTCATATTAATGCAAGTGTGCGCGTTACGGTTCAAATCGAGCCGAAGTACGCGAACAAAACAAATTCCGACAATTTGGCGCATATCGGTGTGTGAACGGTTCATAATGTTTTATAGAAATTATTCTTAAATTTCTTTTTTTTTACCTCTTACGCGTGCCTTTCTTAGATTCAATGCAAATCATTGGAGATTTTAATGCTAATGTATGGATACGGGAATTTGGCACATTCTTGGAAATAGCCAGGGTGTTCGTAACCCCAGAGGTGAGCGCCTCAAAGAGTTTGCGAAGATTATTGAGTTGAGATTATTCAGAAGGCGAAAGAATTTCACTGAACCCTTTATATTTGTTTTGTAGACTTCCGCAAAGCATTTGATACGGATATATGGAGACACCTCTGGAAGATACTTGAATGCCATTTCATCTGGTAGCCCCTTTGAAGATACTTTACAAGGAAGGTACGAGTGAAAGATACGGTTTCTGAAAACTTAAGGAAACTTAAAAAAAAGGATCGCCGTGAAATCGACTCTTTACAGAGGTGGTGCTGGAGATGCCTCCTTAACATCACGTGGACAGCGTTTCGCACCAATGTTTCCATCCTCAAGGAACTTAGTATCAAGGACCGGTTTTCGTCGACTGTACAGTTAAGAATACTTAAGTTCTTTGGTCACATCTCGAGAAATAAGAATTTGATGGAGAGACTTGTAGTTAAGGGCAAAGTGAAAGGTAATAAATGGCGCGACAAATCACCAACTCACTCTGATAAATGGAGCTACCAAGTCTACCATTGTCCAGTATACTCGCGATGCTGTTAACCAGCAAAGGCGAGATGTATCGTTTGGAGGGCTGCTATCAAAAAACCGATGAGACGATCTTAGGAGCGACTCTCCATGTTCCCTATTCTTATCAAGGCAACTACTACTCTGACAATAGTGTCCGACTAAAAATAAGAGAATCTGATGGACATAACGGATCTTCAATGAGTGCAATTTTGAATGGCATTTCATATTATTGCAAGGTTCTGACGTTCAACAACCGACAAGTACACGATTAAGCTTTATAGAGCTAAGCGAGAGATCTCGGCGACATAGTACTGGTGGAAATGGTAGATCGGCTGTCTATGGACTCATTTCTCCCTCTTGCGCAGTCCATCCTCAGTATTTGTGTTATGTTCGGTTTGGTCTACGCGTCATTCTACCAATCCAATTGCATTCAATTAATACAAAATCACCACTGAGGTCTTGTGATAGGTGATCATCACCCCCTGCTTTACAGTTCTTGATGGTTCACTTACCGGTAGGTTAGGGAATAGTACTTCGTCGATCTCTGTGATGTTGGTGACAACACTATAATTAGACTCGAAGTTGTAGGAGACGAAAACGTTCTTGTCCGGAATATCGACTGGAACGGCAATAGCAACGAACGTCTGAAAACATAGTCATTTCTATCATAATTAGTCTTCTAATGTTCCCACTAAAGTGTCATAAATTCAAGAAGGGCCTAGTGTAGATTGGAGGATGTTAACACCTGTCTTATCATGCCAAAAAATTTTGGTCACCCATCCTATGATCAGCCATTGCGAAAGTTGTTTAACTTTCGTATCACAGACTGAATGAGCTAACCACTGCACCGTTCAGCTTATTCTTATAAATCCGGAATTTTATTTACCCTGCCCAACGCGAATGGGTCTCATATATATCCCAGTCTTCGTCTTGCCAATACGCGAGACGATATGAAACCGATTTACATCGCGCGCGGCTTAACATAATATTTCTCTTAAGAAATTCTGGCTAAAAATTGCATAATGAGTGCAGAAAATTATTATTTATGGTAAACTTTATAGACTCAACTCTTAAATAAGTTGTCGCGTAAAAGAATACGCCTTAAAAATCCTTGGTGTATATTTTCAGGCTCATATTTTATTTAGTAACACGCCAGAATCTCGATCCAAAGCAACTCGTGAAATGTACATGCTTACAACAAAACGGTACATAAGAAAACTGTGCATTGGGATTTGTTGCCGACACGCTATGTATGTTACAACATAAATAAATTATTGTGTAATTATCGAATGTGTATAGTATTTGCTGAGTTTAAGGGGTCCGTACCAAAAAGCTAAAAATAGGACTTTATTACTAACACTCGTATCTATAGTCGAGAGAAATAATTAATTGAGAAAACATCATAAATTAAGCAAATATCTTTAATCAATAGACCAAAATTTAAATGTTCTTTTGTCGCCAATCTGTGAATTATGGACCGTGACATTTAGACAGTTGAAATTTTCACAGGTTATTTATTTGTTTTGATGCTACGACAATAAATACTAAAAACAAAATAATACAAATATTTACAACAAGGACTCCGATACAACACGTGATTATTTTGCCCGTTTTTGTTCGATATTGATAACAGTTTAAAATATTCACCGTATTTTTAGTTTAAAAATAAATAATTAAATTTAAATAAATAAATAATTTCAAGGGAGCTCCCATACACCAGACATGACTGTTTTAATAGATAATAGCATATCAAACTTCTCCTCACTATCAAGATCAAGAACTATCAAGAAGGGGAGGGGCTTCTTGATATTTTTATCAATAATCACGAAATATCCAAGAACCCTTCCTTTCAAGCCTCACGTGATTTATGGACAGCCCCCAAGTTATGTACATCATTTTAAATCTAATATGACGAACAGTTCAAGATGGAGGACTAGATATTTTACTAGGCACTCTCAAAATAATTAGTACCAATATATATATAAGTTCGCTAACAAAAATAGGATAATAATAAAATGATTTGATTCTAAATGTAATATGGCGGATCATACCTAAGATTTCGGAATAATTAATAGGAATATCAAACGAAAGGGTTTGCTAAAAATTACAATTATATGTAAAAGAGTTGTCGCTTTTTTAATAGAAAAATATAATTGTCATATTTAGTTTTTATCAATATCCACTTAACTTACCCCGTACAAACTTGTCGGTGGGAATATGAGACCTCTTTTCTGCCTATCACATCTAGTCTGGCTGCTGAGGATTAGCAGAGCTCTGGAGAAAAACAACACAAATTAATAAAACTTCTTTTGAACGGCTAACCCGGCCTCGAGGCGTTAATAAACAAGACTAGAGAGAGAGTAAATTTCAGTATCCCATGTTCCTGATTATATTGTCATATTATAAACTATTTCATTACTGTTACTTAAAATGATATAGCTTTATATTAAAGTTAGTTCTCGCTTTATAATAAGATGGACGACCTTTTACTAGCCATGAGTGAAAAGAAACTGATGTATCTTCTCTTTTTAACCGTAATACTTAGTGACAGCCATATGTATCTACTACTACTCAATCTGTATAAATGTTATAGCTCTATCGATTTACGTGTAAATTGTATGTTGTTGAGTTTAGACGCTTGGATCCTTTGCAGGATCAAGTATATTCATAAATGATATTAAATTAGCAATGTGCATGAAAATATACTCGTATATCAATGTTATATATACAAATTTGAAATGATATAATGCAAAATCTTTTAGTTTCCCAGATAACAAATTCATCGAAGTTTCTATTGTAGCGCTGTCAGCAAACATTAATTTCTCTAAAAATATAGTTTATCTATATATATAAATCAATTACTGTTCGTCTGGCTCGCTAAAACTAAATCTTAGTTCTAACCGAGATCGGTAACAAACCGATCCCGGTTAGAAATAAGTTTGACCCCCAATTATAGCTAAATACATCACTTAAGAGTACGGCGAAGATTAGAACAATATATAAAATTAGTAGTAATATATTTTAAGATTTTAAGTTTTCACACTTACGAAAACTGGATCATTAAAACTTCAATGATCATGTTATTATGATAGTGAATATTTAATACCATTATTCATCAGCCTATTAATGTCGTCCCAGCCAGGGATCAGGTCTGTGCTATAGATGAAATTAAACAAGGAGACGGGCCATAACTTACCCCGCGGACTACAGATTCACCTGGGACCAATGGCTCAACGTATCTTCCAAAAATTTACTATCTCACCCATCCATGGCCACTTGCCATCGCATCGGATATTGTTTTGTAGACCTAACACGGCAATCAATGCATCATCAAGAGCTTTACACTTAATCATTGAGTTTGTGTAATTATATTGTCTATGAACCATATTCATGAATTATATATTACGTATTAAAAACAATAAAAAATCGATTTGATCATCAAAGCAATTGAAATTAATAAAATCGTAACGTGACATGTTAAAAAAATAGTGATTGTAAAGTAACTTACAGAAAATATTCTATTTTTAGACACGTCATTGCAAATCCACTGTAAAATTCTTCGCAAAAAAATGTCAAACATTCACTTTCAAATACACTTAAATATAAATTTTATTTGTATATATTTTGTGATATGCGGGTAAAAGAAAAAGTATATATCTTCATGAGACGGTCGCACATTCTACAATAGTGCTATAAACTACACGCATGTCGTCAGATTTTATTAGTCATTCGCTAAATAACGGTGTGAATACGATGGTTACTAGTGTCCTTAAGGCGGGGCATACAGACAAGAGAGAAAACGAGCCGAAATTAACACGCCCAACAATGAGACAGGGCATTTATGTTAATAATGGCATCTCAAGTGCGTCTCAACTACTTGCATCATGCGAATACTATCTCTCTGAGGTCCAATATTATTAGTGCAATGTCTCTTTCACAAACCAATGGCACCTAATGGTAACAAAATTTATTATTTTGTGATGTAACAAGAACGGTGTTATAAAGGGTTTTAGTTGCAGCGCTATTAACTTTGCATATTTACGCTTATATTAGCAGAATGACCTACTGGTAATGAGGATAACACATTATGTTCAAAAACTAATTTTGCTATTACTGTTATTGTATTTTTTCCGACCCTCGAAAGTAACTCATAGATAGATAGCTAGATAGATAACTCGTTATTGTTAACGATACACTATTTACAGAAACAAACATAAATTAAACTTAATTATTATGGAAACAATTGGCGTATATAAACTATCGCGTTGCATTATATAAGACGGATATTAACTCGACAGATTTTGATAGTTAGGTTTTTCACCTACCTATATTACCTATATTGGGTAGGCGAAAAACCTAAATATCAAATTCTATTGCGTTAATATCCATTTTATACAATCAAAGAGTATATATTATATAATTATGTTTCCTTTAAAATCTGGAAAAGTTATTTGACGCGTAGAAAGGCATCTCGGCTTCCAATACTTCGCACTGTTTTTCTGGTGCGTTCGCCCTGTTTTTTTTACTATGCAGAAGAAGAGGCGTACTATTTCTATACATATCGAACTTTATAATGCTTTGTTCAACTTTGTAATAGTACAAGATGAAGCTGATAATTGTGAAGAAGAATGAAAGAAATAAAAAGGATAGACAACATCGTTACAATAAATAATTAAAAAGAATATTTTTGTTTGTTGCTTTGTAAATTGCTCATTTATCAGTAGTATGGTTAGTAACACAAGTTCCGTTATTTAAGTTAGCATGGTGCGACATGCGGAGGATGGGCTACTTTATGTGCTAAGTGGCCCCGAACTCAACGAAAGTGACCCCACATTTTTATCATGTTATGTATAAGTAAATTGTAAACTAGACTATTTCTATACTTATATTATAAAGAGGGAATAATTTCTTGTTTACATTGAATACGCTCCGAAACAATTGAGGCCGATTTGTATACTTCAGTTACACTGGTCGAGGAGGTCACCACGCGGAGCACGGTGGACCTTTGTGGGCTCATCTCATTGGTTAATAAAATGATAATCGACCAATAAAAGCGAGCAACAGAAATCGCCCGTAACGCATACGCTGACGTCATCCACCAAACACGGGTGGCATAGGTTATAATTTACCCAGGTGCAATCGCGGGGAAACAGCTTCTTTATGAATAAATGTGTTTATGATACTAACGTATTATCAATTACTTGCTGTTACAATACCTGATGACATGGATCTTCTATAAAAAGTTTAATGAATATTGACAATCTTAGTTGCCCGAGATAGGATTCGAATCCGTAAATTTTTATATCCGTGCAGTTGCAGAGCAGTTGCTCTAACTGACCACCCAACATCTCAGTAAGATCATTTAATTTGTAGGAGCACCCTGATAAACAATGTTATTGATTGGAATCCCATCTGATGAAATAAATTTTGAAATTCCAAATATGAAAGTTTTCCTATAAGAATACTATAATATTATCTTATAATAATAGTGTGTTTAAAATACACTATGAATAGGAACTACGACTCCTTCAGTCAGTGGAAGTTATGTTTTGCCAGCGAAGAAAAAAAAAATCGTCTTCCGATCAGCAGAGTGATTCTTTAAAAATCCAAACCCGAACGAATTCACTCATATGTCCGAGTTCACGTTCCAAAATTCCAAATTCTATCGATTCTATTTTTGTATATAAATACAAAACAAGATTGATTGATTCATACGTGTCTCAGATATTCTATTCCTATGTCATATCGAAACTCACTTCTCTTATGCTTGAAACGTTATTACCGATTCAAGGTTGAGCTGATGCCACTTTTGAAGTGGATTAGGACACCTGAATGAATTCGAATTTGGGTTCGGATTTTTACAGAATAACAATGCTGATGTGTGTCGCAAAGAACAGGCGCGAGTTAAGTGTAGATTTATTGAACAGTCATACTGGTATCGAACGTAAGAGGACTGGAAAGAAGGTAGATCGATAAATCGCAATTTCAAGTCCAACGTTACAAATGTTTTTATTCTTATTCTTATTAACGATCAATAAATAGCAAATCGCTCTAAATAAAGCGTAGTTCTGGACAGAATCGTGTCGGTCGACCATCCGCCACTTGTATTAGGATAAGGCGTACGAAAACAACACGCCTCTTACACCACGACGGAAGAGAAATTGTGGAACTACAAAAACAATGCTGCTCGAATTCCTCAAAGTGACAATAAAGCACAGGCAAGAATTATCGCCGAAACGAGTGACGTCATTATTCTTTTTTTTTGCGTCACCCTCGTTTGCAAACTTCGCCGTTAAGACGTTTCTCTCTTACCGTAGCGGGTAATGATTAGGATATTATTTAACACTGTAACTCCGCGAAAGAATAATTTATTTTTGCTAAAAGTAAAATGTTACGCGATTGGTACGAAAAATGAGAATGACTTATTCTACATACGAGTAACTAAGTCTAGGATTAATGTCTTGTGTCACATTAATAGAAACTGGTATAAATAAATAAATATCAGATAACGTCATACAGATTTCTCAGATACCAATTAAAGAGGTTTTAGCAATTGTATTATGGAAATATGAAACAACGAAGGCAAAAGTATTATATCACCCACATCATAGACAATATAGAATTTATTTTCTACATTGACCTGTACCGGGAATGGAAGTAGGGATCTCAGACATGCCGACACTTTGAAACCATTTTGCAAGTTACTAAGCTAAGAAGATCGTTTAATGCTATAATTTCAGATAATAATATCGTGTAAGTTAAATTTAACTTTAACAATAGTATAATAAGTTAAATTTAACAATAGTATATTGAAATCGTGTATCCTTTTAATATAAGTGGAGAAAAGATGAAAATAATAAATAGTTTTAACCTTCAAATTGGGTCAAAAAGGATCAAAAGACAAATGCCCGTTTTTATATGTTAAAACTAATTATCAGGTCAGTTTATATCGATTTCCCTTGTTATGAATATCTCGTAGAAATTATGAACTGAGTTCTATGAGAAACTTTTAATAACAAACGTATCTGTATAGCTGTTAAACTGTTTGTTGATTAACATAGAAAGCTACAGTTTTGAACATCTTTAGTTGCTTAAACAGTGCTCTTGGCAACGTAGTGTTGACGAAACTTGAAACTTGGCTTCGCGCCTTGCGGCTTACCAAACTTGTTGTGACTGCAAGATGTTATTATACTATGATAATAGTTGTGAACTACTTGACACTATCGGGAACCTAGTTTACTATATAATCTTTAAGTTAATCTCACTAATATTATAAAAGCGAGCCACTTTCGCAATGGCCGCTCATAAGGTGGGTGACCAAAATATTTATTAACTTTCATGCTTCGGAACGCATATTAAGCTTTGTTCTCGGCTGCGTCTTTAGCAGTTAACACCCACCAATCCCCTGTAGGCTCAGGTCATGCATAGTCCAATTTTCTTTTTGATCCAATTTCATTCACAGGAAATGTAGCTTTATACGAGAGAAAGAATCTTTGAAAAATGCGTACTTTTATAAATATAAATGCTAACATAAACAGACAGACAATGCTGCATCAGCATTTCCTCAAGTCTCCGAGCTCGCTCAATCGCGAACTCAGTCTGGATGAAATTTTCTATATTTTTTTTTTAATTTATTAAATTTGTATTTCAAAAAGGCTTTTCTTTGAGACCCCATAATAGTATGCTCTTATTTGTTTACATAAGTGTTCACAACGCGGTACGGGTATTTGATAATTTGTCATATATTTGTGCGCTTAATATTTATTTGAGAAAAGACAATTTATATTAGTGCTAACCAAAATTCATGAAGGTTTGTCCGGAATGCACTTGCTGCGTACAATCGCGTTGAACATAAACATGTATTACAAAAAAAACACTTCAAGTGATATAATTTTGAAAATATGATAGCCCTAGACATACTAAGAATAAAACCTTAAAAGCAGTACCTTTTAAAAGGCAGTCAAAGTTATTTAATTGATCATCGTATGTTGTAGCTGTACTGTGTTCAACTTGATAATCAAGTTATACAAGATGTTACATGATTCAATATTACCACAGAGTAGTAAAACTGATAGTAGGGGAGCCCACGATGCTAAATCGGGATTTACTCGAGCGTCATAGAGACCTATTGGGTTGCGAAGCTTAGATGATAACAAAAAAATAATGTCATATAATATATACCTTTTCATTGGTGGGGGAAGTGGCTATAGATTTTAAAAAATGTAAAAAAAAACTGTTGTATGGACATACTCGAGCGCGTCAGATATTAATATCATCCATGTCCTACGCATTTTTAAAAACTGTCGTATGTTAATCTGATCGTTTCCATGATGGGGGTGGTTATACGTAAGGGTTGAAAATGAAAAAAAAAATTATTTAATCGAGCGCGTCAGATTTTTTGAGAGGATGTCAAGTGAACCTAAAAAAAAGCTCTCATATAATAATCTGACGATTTGGATGTGACGCAAACGCGTGACCATTATTAGAATGTGCAAAAAAAAAATCGCCATTTTGAAATACTCAAGCGCATCAGATTAAGATATATATGGTTCATCTTTATGCCCCAGACGTGATATCTCATAATCTGACGATTATCTGAGGGATTTACTTAAACTGACACAAAAAAAATTTTTTTTTTTTTTCAAATCATTGTGCTTAATTAAATAGAAAAGCACCGGAGTTAGCATGCAAATAAAAAAGTGTATGTTTTTTATGTAAAATACTTATATTTATAAGAAAATGATTATATGAAAATTTAATTTTTACAGTATTTTTTATTAATTATCATCTTCATCGCTAGAATCATCTTCCTCTTCTTCTCTTAAAATAACAAAATAAGCAAAAACGTTGGAAATACGATGTAAACAATATCACGCCACGAACGAGTCTGGGTCATCAGCTGTCATGGCGTCATGGCAACCAAAACCAGAGTGGGGATGGAATGAGAGAGTAATAGACAGAAAAAGAGAGAGAAATAGTGATGCGGAGAAGGAAATATAGGTATCACGTAGCTTAAACGCATTAAATCTTATCGATGAATTTTTATTACTTCGGCTTGTGACAATCGTCAGATTATATATTTTTCGTAATGCTTGAATGATTCCCTTCAAAATAAAAAAAAAATTAGCCACGCTCGAGAATGTCAAAGTGACGTTTTTTTTACAACTTTGTAGCCTTCCCCCTTCTTTACGTCACTCTCAAATTGTCAGATTAGAGGTATGTACACCTTTTAGCATGTAACTAGCTCACTTTACCTTAATCTGACGCGCTCGAGATTTTCAGATGATCAATTTTTTTTTACTAATCTGATCCTTCGTCCTTGCCGGGCGGCCATTTTTATAGGACTCATACTTGGTCCAGGTACTTAACTGGGTACAAGGTATCCCCCTGTATATTAATCTGCCGCGCTTTAGTAAATCCCGAAATCCCCGCTTCGGCTCCCCTACTAGAAACATCTTGCGTTGAAAATAAAACCTAATACATATTGTGTTGACAACATACTTTGTAGTTAATTATATCCAGCACAATTAATCTAAATTAAATAAACACCAATGTGAATAGCTGTACCGAAACAACATTTGCAGTCCAACATGTCGTATTAAATTAGTGTTGAAATTTCAGAAATAAAATGAATGGATCCAAAGTAACTTTAACCTAAATCTCGGACTCTCACATAATGGTAGGGAATAATTGAATTTTAACGATTTCTAGTAGACTTCTCTATACCACTTCCTCACCAGATTATAAAGATACCTCAGCCCTCTCAAGTATTAACAAAATATGGTCCAAGAACAGAGAACATGATTTTCCGAAAAGCTCAACTTTGAGTGGTTGGGTGCCCAAGACAGCTCTAAGGGTCTAATGGAATAAAATGCACCTAGAGGGGCGAATGTTTTGTTCAAAGGAGTCCCTTTCTTAGAAGAAATAAGATTATTTTGTGCGTTTATATGCGAGGTCGGCGAGTCCCCGATAACATTTATATACGTTTTATACAGTGGCCTATTTTGTAATATTTGCATTACAATTCTACAAACGGCTTATGATATAATAGTCAATATTTTTAAAAGACATTTGCGTTAATAACGCACCACCTGATACTGATTTTTACTTCTTTATATAGAAACTACAAAACTAAATGAAATGTAGTTGTAAGTTTGGATGAACACTGGGCTAGTTTTTTTACTACTAAATGGTTTCCTAGGAATACCAATATTTATGTGAACGCATCTTCAAATAAAATATACTAAAGAAAAATTGTAGATGGTTTAAATATCTAAAATAAGCTTTAATAATATTTTAAGAACGGCTAAGATCCGTATTTCTTTTGTTTATTAGGTCGCGTTAACAATCGGGGCCGTAACACGTTGAAGAATGTCGGTATTCAACTCAAGGCTTCTAGACAACTCTGGTTTCAACTGAAATTAATATAATAAAGAGTCCAAGACAAACTTGCTTGTAACACCGTTAATAACTTGTAATAATGTATTATAAAATGAGGAGACAATGTCGGACTTTGGAAACCAATTCTGATCATGCTTGCAGAAAAGAAGGTTTGAAATCAATCGGATTTACAGTTTTGAATCATCCAATGTGATGTTCATTGTACCTATAGGTATTACAAATTAAAGATCGATATATCTCCGTCAACTGATATTTTATAGTGTTCAAATTCTCTTTATGATGTTTCGTCAGAGTACCACGATGAAAAATGGCGTCCAATTAAAGGCTCGCTTTCTACTGCTAGATATGGAATCTCATATATTGAAAGGCTGAAGTAGTATAACTACATAGAAACCTTTTTCTGTAATTGTAAAATTATCTAGGAACTTGTGCCTGTTGGTGTGCTTTATTATTTTGAGTCGGGCGGAAGTCTTCTGTAAGTTATTAATTTAATGATAGGCGCCCGACTTCTATAGCATTTACTTAAATGAGTAGCTGTAGAGATAACTGTTATTAATCATATTTTTAAATTTTGAAATCAGTTCAAATTTATAAAAAGTTTTTGTTTTATACTTTTACTAAAAATATCTCTATATGTATAAATACAAATATTCAATATAATGAAAGTCTTAGAATTAATAGATTTTATACATAATTTGTTCCAATAATTCTATACTCACATTAAAAAAGAGGAAATTTTTTTTCTTTCATCTATAGCGAAGCTACTTAATACGCGTTGGACATAGACTATAATTAATACAGGCGAAGTCGCGGGGAAACAGCTAGTTTGATAGAAATTGGTTCAAAATTCAAGGAGAAATCGATTAACATACATATGTAGATACTTTCATAAAAAAATTATACACACTCCTTGAACATAAAAAATTCACCTTTCAAATTTGATGTATTCCAAATACGCAATCTTTTGTTTTTTAGCAGAAATGGATCTTGTCTTATCATATTAACTAAATATTTGGGTGGTATTTGGTGGAAAGCGTATTTTGTTTTATTATAAAATGAAAACTAATGATTCAATTTCGATATAATTTAAATGGAACATACATAAAAAAAGAAAATACATCGCCGTCGAACATATAACCTCCTCCTTTTGGATTTTGAAATCGGTTAATGAGCTGTATGTAACTAGCCCGACAGATAGTCACAATGACAATAAGAAATAAAAAACTCGCTCAGCTTGAGTTGGATGATTGGAATAATGAGAGACAGCTTTCGATATGATAAACGATTCGAAGAAAGAACACAAATTAGAGAAATCGCAAAATAAAATTGATGTTGAATAAATTATACCAATCATCAGTTAAATTAAAGCGAACAGGCAAAATTTTTATTAAATAAAATAAGTTTTTAAATTGTTTCTGTTAGTAAATGTGTGCTGCGTTGAAGAGGAAACATTTCATTGTTTGTTTGCAATTTGGCTCAGAAAATACTGGATCGATTTTAAAAATTCTTTCAAGCTACATCGTTAGTGCTAAACAGCTAGTGTCTTATAAACCAAGGTATATCGTTACCGAATTTTAAATTACTTTAATTGATTTGAACAAAACCTGCATGTTTTCATAATAAATTGCTGTACATAATAATAAATGAGTGTACTCAATATATATTTTACATCTAGTTGTTTTTTTTTTCAACACACAATAAAGTGTTCTTTCATTTTAGTTAATTTCAGCCCGCATTAAGCGTCATCCACAAGGGTGTCAACCAGAGTTAGCTAAGGTAACCTTGATGATTGTTATCCGTCTGGATGGCTCTTGCAACTGATTCCGATATTAACTTAGAAGCCCTTGGTCGAAACGTACCGTTAAACCAGTGATCGGAATGTTGCTAAATGTAAGAATTACGGAATTCGGAGTGTCATGAAAGGATAAAAATTGCTAATATTATATTTTATTATGACTCTCGTTGGCAACCGTGGTCTCACTAATGTAAACTTGACAAAATTATTTAAATTTTATTGAAAGCTTATGTGAAAGTAAAACCAATTTTGTGAAATTATTTGTGGCTAAATTGTTGAACGAGGAGTGATATGTACATATCGCTAAAGGGAAAAAGTAAGGTTGCTAATATTGTTAATTCTTATTATTTTCAAGTATTGTTCAACTTGGATCGCTTTTGGAAAAATCAAATCATATTTACTTAGCTTATACAGTCTTTGTGTATTTTAATTGAAAAATTGTGTAATAACCATAATAATTTATTACAAATGCACAATACGAAATATATTTTTATAAATTAATTATATCATGAATAAAATGCTTTGTTCATGGGCAATACGTATTTGTTTCGTTCGGCCAAACATTATTTTCAATCCAGCACAGGTATGAAGTAACGTTTGCATAAATACTCGGTGAATTGAGCTTTGCACAATCGAAGCCAAAATTGGTGATTCCTACGACATAGTGCACTAGAACATTTTCGTCATACTGGAACGACCGCCATATTTGAATAGGACCACCAGAATCACCCTGCGAACAGACCAAAACTCAATGAGGAAGTATTAAAAAAAAATGAAAGCACACAAAAAGCACCTCCACTAAATGGCGACTCTAGCAAAAGTTGATTTTTGCAGGAAGCAAATGGACGAAAGAGTCATTTACGTTCCTTTTAACTAACATATTAAAAAACTGAAATTTGTAAAGTTCGAAACTTAGATATCAATATAAATACGAAAAAGTACAAATATAATATTAAGTGTTTATTGAGTTTTGAAAACTAATTTACTTTTATGTCCGTCTATCTGTCAAGTGCATCTCATTAAACGTCTAGCTATCATTTTTGATAATTTCACAGATAATGTATTTTTTGCCGTTATAAGTATATTTCTGATTTTTAGTATTTTTTGTACTAAAAATCAGAATAAAATAAACATTTTTGCGTTTTTTTATAGACAAAAGTACGGAAGACTTCGCACGCGAGTCTGATGACATGTTTTATGACTTTTCCTCTTTTAGAAGGCTTATGAAAGTACGGTTACCAACCGAACATTGGATGAGCAGTGTTAAGGTAACCTAAATAATTTATGCCGTATCAGATACTTCAATAAAGAACAAAGAACCTAACAGTTGTCACGCCTGTCCCATGGACAAAACTACTACTAATAACAGTTGTCATCTAACAGGCAACGAGATAAGTACTCGGCTAACTCAATTTAACTCAATAAACTCTAACTCAAACTCTAATCTCAACAAAATCTATAACGTAACAAAATACGTACTTATTAAGGAGACTCAATTGTGATACCAAAACAAATCAAACATTGTACCTACTGTACAGTTGTTTTATCAGTTTTATGCTCAACGATATTTTAACCTTGTATAGTAGGAATGCAAATATTATATATTGTCAATGTAATTTCTTTATATATAAATAAATAAATAAAAAAATAAATAAAGAAATGTCTCATTAGTAAAACAGTAGTTTCTATATCCAAAACAAAATTATACAATGTCAGACACAATCAATACACATATTTCTATAATTCCTGAATGACATATTAATACATATAGAATCAACTAATGCACATAATCAATATGGTAAGTTTATTTCAATCATTTAAGTAAAAGTCTTTTACTTAAAACAATTCAACTCAAATTGAACTCAATGAACGCAATCTCCGAACTCAAAGAAATCTAAAACTCAACTCTTTCCTTGTAAGGTTCTTATAGGTAAAAAATACAAATAAAAAGGGTGACTATAATTTAAAGTACACAGTAATAAAATATGTGCACTGATTATATATTTTTTTTAAATATATGTATAAATGCTTACCAAGCATGTGTCTACACGGACGTCCAACTTTCCAGCACAAAACTGACTGTCAACGAGCCCGTACTGCCATAATCTATAAAGGCGGTTTTCTAAAAGATGTTTACATTGATTGCGACCTATAAAATCGATTTCTGCATATTGCAAAATCGACGTAGTGGAACTTGGAGATTCTAAAAAATGTATTAGCATAAATTATATTCAATGGAAATTTATATTAAAATAAAGTTAAAAAGTCGCAAAAACCTCTTTCTTGGCATAGTAAAACAATAATTTTTACCGTTAGGCGGAAAAGTTTACAGTTCAAATAATGACGTCATCCGATCATTGCTAAAAGATAACTCTGTAACTGTTATTGTTAAAGTAAGCTGGTGCAACCTAAGAAAATATTTGTATCTTTAATGACTGAATGTATTAATACTCTATTGAATGTTGAGTGCATTTTGATTAAACTCAGTGTCAACCAAATGAAAACTAATACAAGGTCGGATCCACTGTTATGGCCATGATGGGTATGCCCACAATACTATTAGAGTTGTGACGTCACATTTGCATAGTGTGCTCGAGTGCCCACGTGGAACTATACGTCTATGGTATATAGCGTCAGATATTTTGGTATAAATTTCCTTTGCAGAAATGCACTATTTTATGCAGGAGTTCATACTGATCTGAACTGATGTCTTCCTTAACTATCCATAAGGATGGCCTGAGCCCCTGTAGCGGTGTTGTAAAAAGGCTGGTGATAAAATACACTGTACTATATTTATTAATTTTTAAGCTAAAAAGACTAACTATCTCACCTGCATCTGTTTGACCCCAGCCCGTGACATTACCAGCTGTTCCAGTAAGATCGATTGATTTATGCCAAATACAAGCTGGTCTAATATATTCCGAGAATTGTATGTCCTCGGTGAACTCTATGAGAGCTATGTCGTAGTACTTCACGTGGAGGACATATTTGTCATGATTTATAATATTTTTTATAATCATATCAGTGGCGTCGGTATCATCCTATAAAAAGACACCCAAAAACATTATAAGTGGTTAATTTTTTCGTAATTAATATTGTATAAAACTTAAAGAATGAGGGTCCAAGGAGATTTTCCGGCTTGTAATTGCTTAAATTTCAGGTAAATCGCATTGACGAATTTTTTTATTTCAATATTAAGGAACGAAAGTGTTTTATGTTTTTGTTAATAGTTTTTACCCGTTTTAATACTTGTTTGCCTAATTCACCTATTTACAAAGATTTAACTTAAAATTTGTAAATCAGCGCAAGAACGCAACATTTTTTACTATAATAATAATTATTATTTCATACCATTTTTGAACAGTACATGAATTTGACAATGTAAGCATAACAAGGCTATTGGCGACCTTATCCCAAAAGCCAGACTACCTTTAGATGGAGAAGAATGAATACCAGTTATAAAAAAGGGGGTATAGACTAAGAGTACCTAATTCCAAGATAAATAATTAACGTTAAGTAAAACTTTAATGTAGTTTTACTTATAAGATTCATAAATATGGTTAATATTTACATAAATACATATAATATAATTGAAATTTTTAATAAAACAAACTGAGACACAAAACATACAAAAAAATAAAAGTATCACGCCCATAAAAATCTTAAATCTTCGAAAATAAGTGAATTTTGGTGAAAAATGTAAAAGTTGCAAAATTTTAAAATTTTTGGGCATCAAATAATCGAGTAATAAAATAGGATGACAATATTAAATAAGATGACAAAACTTGAAAATTTAAATGTTTTTGAAATATTTAAATGTAATAATTTCGTAGATACTATCAATATGAAATTTAACCAATTTTCTGAGCCGAAAAACCCATATATGAACCCTCATCCTTTAATTAATTATAGTACATCTACACATATGCGTGCGAAATAAATTCTGCAAAACTATTTCGAATTCGAAACTTCTACAAGTTAGCACACTGCATTTTTTTTGGAAAGATATGTCATTGCAACTTTCGTGGCTTATGGGTATGAAATGAAATGAAAATATCTTTATTTAAGTAGGCTATGACAAACACTTTTGCATCGTTCAAAAAATTTTTTTCCCCTACCACTTGTACAGGATGTCTTTTAGCTGACAAGAAGAACAGGCGAAAGAAACTTACCAGCTCTTTATCATAAGTAATGACTACACATACATATGCGTGCGAAATAAATCCTGCAAAACTATTTCGAATTCGAAACTTCTACAAGTTAGCACACTGCATTCTTTTTTGGAAAGATATGTCATTGCAATTTTCGTGGCTTATGGGTATGAAATGAAATGAAATAAAAATATCTTTATTCAAGTAGACTATGACAAACACTTTTGCATCGTCCAAAAAAATTTTTTCCCCTACCACTTGTTCAGGATGTCTTTTAGCTGACAAGAAGAATAAGCGAAAGAAACTTACCAGCTCTTTATCATAAGTAATGGCATTTACATAAATCATGTCATTACCAAAATAATTTGTATTATCACAATAAGGAATACAACTTTCAAAGTCTGTAGGACATAGATTGAACATTTAATTAGTCTTTATAGAACAAAGCGAAGGCTATTAATTCTATGCATTGCGATCCCTAAAATAATCATCAACTTTATTAATAGCCTTTACTCATAAGTATGTTCTTTACACGAGTTTTAAATTTATTTATGGGTCAACTACATTTTGTGGAACTTTATTGAACATAGCAATGCATTTTCCCAGAAATGATCCTCTGGTTTTCTGAAGTCTGAAGCTTGGAACGGCAAGTTTATTTTTATTTCTTGTGTTAAGATTATGAACACTACTGTTTTTTTGGGAAGGAATCGATGTCAATGCATCATTGAGAAGTTTTTATATAGAGGTAGATAAGAAATTAAAGACATCACTAGCAAAGGGTCTGCTTCTAAAATAATATAATAGGGATGATGCATGGATAAAAAAAGTAATTCTATTTCGTTTGTCTTTCAATAGAAAAATAGTAGTTACGTATCTTTTGCTTCAATTTCAAAAATAATTGGCTAACATAACAGAAATTAATGTTGAGGAGTAAAGGTTTGCTACGTTACAACCACATAGAAAATGTTTGTACATTCAAATGACCTCATGCCTACAAAGGCATTGAAGTCAATTTTTCACCGTAATTTAATGATTACGTAAAAAATTAAAACTACATGTTTCATCATCATCATCATCAGCCCTTTTACGTCCCCACTGCAGGGGCTCAGGCCTTCGTTAAGGACGGTTAAGGAGGATGGGCCATGACCTTCCACGCTGGCCCAATGCGGATTAACGACTGCAAATGCAGCCGGGACCAACGGCTTAACGTACATTCCGAAGCACGGAGTTTTGGTCACCCATCCCGTGATCGACCCTTGAGAAAGTTGCTTAATGACAACGATCTACTCACATGTTTACTATTACTTCATTAATCTACCGGACGGACGGACAAACAGAAATTAGTCATCATCTTTATTTTAAACATACAGCTTATATTGCTAATTGCAAAGAGAAATACATAACTTGATGCATTTTTTAATTACCCGACAATAATTAATAGTCATTTACATTGAATTTTATTAAAAAACGATTGAGTCCATAACGTTTACTTTTACATTTACATTTAAAAGGAGAAACATTTGAAAAGTTACGAAACTTTTCATTTTTTTTTTCAATACTGTGAATAATAATAAATGACTCATTACAATACATACGATTTAGACAATATAATGCACTGTAATGTAATAAAATAATTGATAAACTTACACTGATATCTGTATTACCAAATCTCACAATGTTCGGCTCTTTGTCTTTAACATTATATTCTCCGCGATTTGATAAAACCGTACAATGAGCGGCTGTTATAGAGAACCTGGTACTAATCAACGATGTTCCACAGAAATATACATAATTATTGTCAATTGTCAGCCAACCTAGAGCGCCCTAAAAAAAAATCACCTTATTAGACAACAAAAGTAAATATATCAAATCAAACGTACCTATCTTATAATTTGTTTATGTGGCTGATAATCTTCTAAGATAAATGATATTATCTGACTGATATAATTTAAATGGGGTTTTATTTTATATACCTACAGCATTTTTCATACTGGAGTAATGTATAGTCCTAATCATAGCTTATAAAAAAACATACTGTACAACTTTGTGTGAAAGGAAATAAATAAATAATATTATTATTTAATAAAGCTAGTAAAGCTTTTTTATTTTTTTTTAATTCACGGTTACATAATTGACAATTCAAAGTTTAGAATGTCTGAAACTGTATTAAACGTCAATTTAGCAGCCTTTCGTTTCTTATTTTAGTTTTTTTGTTCCTGTTCTTAATAGCGTTCATTATGTTCTTAATAGCGTTTGATAAAACAAAGAATTCTTAAATTTTGAAACGTAAAAAAACTTAAGTTATTGAAGAACAATCATTTGAGATCGAGTGCTTTTCTCAATTCAGAAACCGGCCGATAGCCTCTTTGAACCGGATTTGCCTTACCTTATTAAAAACGATAATATAAAACATATAATTTTATTGATTGAGAAGTTTTGATCTTTGGTTATGGACATAAATAATCAATGGTTTTAACTATGATACTAACCATATGTGGAAAGTCTCCAAAGCTACTGTTTTTACCGCCAACAATTCCTGAGATATCCTCATCTGCAAAACCTAAAACATAAGTTTGTTTTTAATTTTTATCGAATAATTCATTATGTAAGTATTCTATCGATTATACCCTTTAAAAGTGTGGGATTTTGTAAAAATACACCAAAAAAATGATATTCGTGAAAATTAAACTTTAAATTATAAACTTAAATTTTAATTTAATTAAGACATTACTGTTTGACAGCAGATGTTTGAGAAGTTCCTACATTATATATTACGATTATATTTATATCTAAGACATTGTAGTTATGATTATATTTTATCAATTTTGCATTCACAATGCTATGCTGAAAATATTCTTAATGAAAAATGAATGAAGGTGCCAGTGATTTTTTAAGAACTTTCATTAAGAATACACTGTAGACATGTGTGTAATATTATTGTACTTTAATTAGTACGCTGTCATTCAGTATAAACAGGTTGAATATAAAAAAATTGAAACCAAAATGATAAAGACATTTTAATAAGTTTAGTGCTGACCCATCTTCGTTTAATGTTTCTTATTTTGTTTAAAGATACATAATACGCGGGTATAGGCTATAATTTATGCGGGAAAAGATAATAATATGTATTTGACTATTATTAAGAGCAATATTTGCATAAATTTACTCTTTACGTCGCCTAAAGAGGCGACGTAAAGCCAAAATGATGTTCCCATAATGACTAAAAACAGGGTTAGAGAATTTAGAAAAATGATTCTTATTTCATTACTTGCAAATTTATTTTCTGAATTAAGAATTTAGAGTTAAAAACGTCTCAAATTACTGAAACATGTATTCTGATTTTAGATTTTTTAAAATCAGTTGATAGCAGTTTGATAAAATAAGGACATTTTGACATGTTAAAAAAACTTAAGTAATTGAGAATTATCAATGCATCTGCAATCGTTAACACCCACTAAATGGGCTAGCGTGCTGAGTTTCGGCCATTTTTCCAAATTCGATTCGATACCAACTATAAATAAAATATATATAAATAAACTTTAATGAATATACATATAAACTATTATATGCAAAGTAAAGTCACTTCACAGCATCCGTCTGTCTGAACGAGATAAGCTCAAAAATTACCAAACGGAATTTCATGCGGCTTTCATAAAGGACAAAGTGATTCACGAGGAAGATTTTGGTGTATAATTTATTAGGGTATAATGTAAATTGGTTAAGTACAACGTTGATTTTTGAAGTTATCGAAAAATATAATGGCATCTGAAAGCATCAACGTAAAGATATAGCACTATTAGTATTAGAAGGTATATTACTTACATATTTCTTTGTTTACTTTATCATCGTGTATTCTATACTTCACATACCACATTAGCTCCTCGCATTCTGAACATAAAAATGTATTATTAGAAAAGGTCAAGGACGCTTTTTTTAGTTTTGTGCCTACCCCTCTCCTCTCTACTTCTGTTTAGCGATTACTATTAAAAGAGAAACCTATATCATAAATATTTAATTTTTACTTATCTCTCATTTGATTGTGATATAGTTTATAAAACTTGATATTTCAGTATGTCAAAGAACTATCCCTCAGTACCCAGTGCGAAGGTTAGGTGCTCAAATACCTGGTAGCGGCGGGGCAATGTAAAGTGCGATTATTAAAGATGCTTTTTAATTAAAATCGTTCTTAATATAGAAAGTAGATTAAACTGCTTCGATAGGACAATTTCACGATTTTCCAAACGCGGCGACTCAGCAGAACTCAGATTGGTGTGAAAAGTTTTCTTAATGGTTTAAAGATAATTCATTAAATTACGAAATTATTAGTACTTAGTTCATAAAAATACTTCATTTAACTAAACTTACAAGTATTTATAAATCGCTAGAAATTTGTTTCACGCCGCTGCAAGCAGATGTTTCAGCGCCTGGCCTCTGCATTGGGTACTGAATGTTGTATGCCATATGTGTTGAAAAATAAATACCTGTTTTTAAATATCAAGCTTAAGAAAGCTCTTGCACATTATTATGAGCTCTTCGTCTACAAATATTAATAATTCAAATGCTATAAAAAAACTTTTCTACTAACCAGGTGAGATGACTATGGTGAACTAACTAAAATACTAGAGATATAATGAACTAAAATACAATAAAGTTTATTTGTAAAATCACTATTTTACGAATTCCAAATGAAGGTCTTTGTTATATTTATTTATCTATGATTGTTTCATTTGAATTTGAATTTTAACAAATAAATTAACAATCAAATAAACTTTTTACGTACTATAGTCGACGACCCTTCGACTTGTTTTGTTGATCTGAGGGACTTCAGGATATGGAAACTGTTCATTGCCATATTCACATGCTTTCTCCTAGAAGTTACATTGCAATAAGTAAATACGAGTATAAAATACGAGTATATCGCAGTGCGTTGTTGTAAGTTTAGCACATGAAAGTTGATCCTGTTTTATTTATTTATTTATTCTTTATTGCATTTTAATACAAAAAGCGGTAGAAGTAAAAAATGTTGGAGTCAGGATGTTAGGAGATAAAAAAAAAAAAAAAAAACGGTGGCCAAAAAATATTACAACAAACAAATTGATAAAAGCCTAATACACAATACTATATATACCCAAACAAATATATATGTAAATATAGATAAATACATAAAAAAAAAGATTACAGAACGCATATATTTTATTCAGAATCTTTAGTATATGTCTAACGAAAGTTGGTAGTGGCTTTAGTATTTATGCGGCAAATTTGAAAAATCTTGTTAATGATATCATACAAGGAATGTGTAACCAAATTAAAATAAATAAAACTCGGCGATGATGAAGGTTACATTCAACATCAATCATGATGATGAAACAAAATCAGATCTCAAATTTAATACAGCAATAGATGCATAGAAAGTAATTTATACATGGTATAAAAGTCGAAGTTGCTTTGCTTTGCCAGTACTTTGAAATATTTAAAATTATACAACGAATTTTAATGCGGTTTTCTATAATATACAGAGTTATTTAAGACGAAGGTTTATACAGGCCCACCCGGGTGAAGCCACTGGCTGAAAGCTAGTAGGTATATTATAAATAATAAAATTATTTATTACTTTCAAAGTTACAATACTTCTGTAGATTGTTTATGTTGCCATACTGTTTAAGGATCAACCCTATTTTTTTTTTTTCAAATTGCCATGTTTTAAGTATCAACCCCTTGCAGATTTTATATATTATAAGATATTTCAAGATCAACTTTCATGTACCAAACTTTAAGATAATAAGAATTGGTAGTAATGAATAATGTATTAGTATAATAACAAATTATATTTAATAAGAAGTAAAGATTTATACGCCTCCAGGCTGCCATGTACGTATATTGCCTATTCTTCTAATGTGATATTCATGTAGACCTCCACCTCAACATTGGAAACATTAGTAGTTTGTTGACGATAATATGGTCTTTAAATAAAGTATCTTTGTTTATCCATAGCCCACATTTACTAGCGACCTTCTGAGTCACACTAGTTATTGCAGTTACTTCATTTAATGCGCGTACTCGTGCTAACAATAATAGTTTTTGAATAACGTAGTTACAGTACGTTAAATATTGACCGTTTTTTTAAAATTTGCGTTTCTTCGAACGCTATGCGATGACGTCATGTCGCGACGCAACAGTCATGTAAAGTGGTTTGCATTTAGTATTTTACGTTTGTTATTGTATCTGTATTATAAATTTATTTGGATATTATTCTTACTGAATTAGCATAGTGATGGAAAAGGGTTTTGTAAAAAGACAATTGGCTAACTACCAATAGTCGTCATTTTCATGGTTGCGCGATATTTGTTCGAAAATGGTGATTATGTATCAGTTGAAATGAGAGGAATAAATAAGTAATGTCTAACTACTCATTTATGTTACTATGTATTTCAATTAAGTTTTGCTAAAAGATAACTGTGTGTTTTTAGTCGAGCGAGTCGAGAGAGTAATCTTACGTTAGCGCGGCCGTTTCGCCAGAGTAGGACCACGGAGGCCGGATTTTAACGTTCAATATCTCGTCATTTGTGAAGATAGGAAAACAATAAAAACAGATTATTTTTTCTTCAGTTATCCACTTTTTAGATATGCTAATAACAAAAATTACTGGTGTGCCTCATTCGTATGGATATTGTAATGATAATCAAATTTACTCACTTTTTCATCTTCTGTATAATTGCTTTTTTTCCGCTTTAATATAGGCGGAACTGATGTTGTTAAGGCCTGAAAAAAATGTATAAATATTTTTTTACAACTTTCATGAAATATCCTTAATTTATTCTTAGAGAAAAACTTTGTTTAGATCAAAATAATGCAGAGTAGCCATAGCGCAGTTGTATCTTGTTTGGTAAGTCATCGCATGTGTGACCAAAAAATGTAAATTAAGCAACTTGGTCACGGTTGAATCTATAATTTTTAGCTCACCAACGTGGTGAATTATGGCTGGTTCTACCTGCTGCTGTGTGATTGTGTTCATAAGACAGGCCTTCCAGCATTGGACACATTAATATGACGATGATGCTGATGAATTTCTTTGTCTGACTCTTTGAAAGCAACTCACGCCGGGTGACTGAGACGTATGTTTCTAGTCGTTGTAATTTTTGAGAATGCGGGAATTATTGAAAGCAGTGAATAAAATAAACTGTTTTCTAATTACTATATCTACATCATATACATTGCTCAGGCCCCAAACTAAGTAATTTAAGCTTTTATCAGTCTCGATACCAAAAACTGAGATAATTTAGAAAAATCAAGTTTCGAGACTTACCCAATCATAAATCGAATCCGGCAACTCAGCGATAATAATACCTTAACACCGACCCACAAGTGAGTTACTTGAATATACTATTCGTATTAATTAACATGACATCTATTCTATTTCTCCAAAAACTTAATTTCGCCTATTCTCGACAAGTTAATATGACTTCAAAGAAACGCTTTTTTCAATATTTATGCTGCAATAGAAGTAGGACCTGACACTCTTCACGGATATGATTTGAATTTTACTTGTTTTTGTTCTAGGACCAATTACGCACGAGAAACTATCAATTTAATTTGTACAAGTTAAAATAATAGTGTAGCCAACACAAATTCAGTGGCAAATCTAATTGCGCGATGGAATGTCATGTTAAGAAAAAGTACTTCAACATCAAGAACTTAATTATGGATAAAAAGATTACACTTACAACAAGTATTGGCGGATCCATTTCTGCAATAGGATATCTTAAAATAATTCTTCTCTGAAAATAAATAAAACATATTTATTCAATTTATATTAACGTTTTTTATACGTAGATTTATTTTTAACAAAAAAGAAATACAAAGATAATATTTATTTATTTAGAAAATTGAGATAGTCTTTGCCGCTATTATTGAAACAGATTAATTAGGCAGTGATTAGCACATTCGGTCTGCTGGTCTGCTATGAGGGGGAGCAACTTTCGCAATGGGCAGTCATAGAATGGGTGAACAAAGCTTTACTATCTCGAGCTCCTCCGTGGCTTGAAAGGCACGTTAAGTCGTTAGGCTGAGTCTGTAGTCGTTAACAGCCACCAATCCACAATGTGCCTGTGTAGTGCGTTTATCTCCTTAGTTGATACATAGAGAAGACCAGTACTTCATCATTAGTTATGATAATAAATTAAATAAAAAAAAGAGTAAATAATTAATCTCACTTTATTAGAGTGGGTTTCGGATTCCCATTGTGGCGGCTCATAGTCTTCATCATCATCTTCATCAACTGTTAACAATGTAACCAATTATAATATTAAAGATATAGAATCAAATAGCATATAATTATATGTGCTAAATATATAAAAACCTTTTTCGGAAGTAAAACGTGTGACTAACCAAAGATTAAAATGAAATAGTTGATACCAGTAAATTAGCTTAAGACATTGTCATATTAATTGAAGATCGCCATTAGAAAAATGCTAGTATTAGGATTTTTTTTAGTCGCGGAACACCAAATAATAAACAGTATGACAAGAGTACCAATAAGAGCAGACCAGAATCAGAGCCTACTGAAAGTTGACAATTTACAGTGCTGCAGATTGTAATATTACCAAACATCAATGTTTCATATGATAATTTGTTATGGATCACAATTCAGCGAAATTGCCTTGCGTGATTTATACAATTCAATAAGCCATGTGCAAAACTTACAATAGTTTGTTGACAATATGCTTTATAAAATTAAGATAATACAAGCCTCATAAAATTTAAGAATTAAAAAAATACGTCTATATTTTGGAGTCTGATGATTGCTTTCAAATATGATATTAAAACGTGTCATAAGAAAATTATTATTAAACATTACATAAAAAGTCGATATTATTGTTATTCATTCTTGGTGTCAATGAAGAGTTGGTGTTGTTGTCATCAAATTGATCCTAAAAAAAAAAACACTGATTAATATTATACAATCAAATAAGAATAAAACAAAAAATCTTTGCAAATACTTATTTCACAATGAAAGCATTACAGATGAGTTGTTTTTTCTCGCTACATGAAAAATCTACAATAAATTAATTAACGACCTAAAACTAAAATTAAATATCAATTTTAGTTTTTATTTTTATTTATTTTAGTCATATTTATTTTAGTTTTGTTATAGTGGGTAAAAATACGATATACATAGATCTGACGCCAAAAATATTTTTTACTCAGAAATCACCCAAATATATAATTACAAAATATTTCTTACCCAGTCGATGATCTTGAATTCTGAAAAGAAAATTTTATTTAACAATAAACCTTTTCACGTAAAGAAAAACATATTAAAATCATAACATTTTTTTATAAGTAATAGTTTGTCATACAATTGTTGACCGAAGGTCATACAAAATCGCTGTAAGACCCGTCCCGACCCATTTATCTGTTATAAAAAGATGTATGCAAGAGAAGGTTCCTGAACATTTTAGAATTTAATTAATTTAGTTTTGAGTAGGTAGTAAAACAATTATAATTTATGAATGCTACCAATTTCATGAGCAAAAATTTGTTCTTTATTGTAGATATATATATAAATTACAATTGTTAACGTTGGAAAGAAGTCGACTAAAAAAATTTGGATCCATTTATATATACAAATTTTCTATTTGTGCAACTGGAACATCAAAAATTTGGTGATGAAACTTAAGTCAGTGTCGTGATTTAACGTTTTTATAGTGACATAAACTAGTAACAATACTAAAGCTGAATATGAACACAAACATTATTGGAATATCTAATATTTGGGTGACTTACAAACTGACTTACCAAAACTCTTTTTATTAGGTCGTGGTAACGTCTTTCTGGTCTTAATCTTTTCTTTGGAATTAGTCTTAGTGCTTAAAACGGACTTCTGTAACAAAGAAAATAAATAATTATTCAATTTCTTCAATAAATGTTCAGAAACTAACGGTCAGTTGCACCACTAGGGTTTAATGACGCCTTTAAGCTCTAATGAATGTCAAATTCGTATGGGTAATGTCACTTTAAGCTTATGAAAATTTTAAGAGACGTTTGTGTAACTTGCTGTATGTGTCGTTTCATTACGTTCCCAGCACATCATGTTAATACAAAAGTTCTATCGTTCGTTCAGCGGATCATATTTTCACAATTAAAGGTAATATAAGCACGAGATGAAATTGAATGTCGTTAGATTTTGAGTTTTTATTCAGAATATATTTTAAATTTTGATTAAAGCATATTTGAAACTTATTTGTTTGTTAGCTTCACAGTCCATTTAGTATTGATTAATTGATTTACGCACCTTCTTCGTTGTTAATTCTACTCTGAAATTTAAATATTTAGGTAAAAGGTAACATGAAAATCCTTTACTAGAGCCAGATTTTTGATCCGTGGTTAACTCAACCATTTGTTAAAATCTTTGACAAATGGTTAAATATGAAGAAAAATATGTTTTTTGATTAATAGTTAGCCTAACCAATTGTCAGAATTACAACCATTTGTCAAAAAATTTAACCATCTCTGGAAGCTAGATTAAGTAAATGGCCAATGGTTAAAAGAACAGATGTACAACTGCGTTGTATTTACTTGGTTCCTTGTTATTGTTTTTTACGTTGCTTTTATAACCTACATGATTTCATAGTGAATTTGGACATTAACTATTTTTGGGATTTCGTTTTATGATGCAATTTCATTGGAAAATATTCCATTGTCATTTTTGGGTTATAGGGTTATTGAAAATATGTTATATTTTTATCTTGATCATCCTTAGTACATTTGTACTATATAAAATATTTTTTTGTTTCCACGGGCATATGCCAAATTATTCAATTATTAAAAATCTTATAAAATCCACGAACAGACAATACAAAAAGTAAATATGCCTACAGTACATAAAATACATAGGCCTCGATTTATTTTCCAACATTACAATCCCACCTTGAATACTAGATACTATAATATTTTCACGTATTTCTCTATAAGATAAATGAAAAACAAATATATGCTTTTTATAAAAAAGTTAAGTTTAAAATAACTGGAAAAAAATATCTTTGTTGCTTTCTTACATTATTAAAGAAATTGCCTTATATTTCCTGAAAAATAACACATAGTGCACACAACAGAACAACCATAAACATCCACACTGTTTGATAATCTAAAGATTTCTTTCGTCTATTTGATACTTGGAACAAAATCCTAATGTCATAAATGGTATATAGTTCGCTCCTTTCATTCAAACCGTTAGTGTTGTCACCCAGAAAAAAATTACCCATGTCAATGTAGAGCGAAAAAACGACTCATTGTGCTGGCAACAAATTGGCCAGTGGTTAAATTTGGCTATGGTTTAATTTGGCACCAAAAAACGAAATAGCGAGTTAACAACTTGTTAATGTTTTAAGTATAGTCAAGTTAACAAATGGTGAAATGACATTTGACTACGGATCAAAAAACTGGCCCTTAGACATTGTTACTTTATTACAAGTATCAACTTACAGAGCTTTGTGTAGTTGAGACATCTTTGTCATTAACCGTTGATGGAGCTGTGAAAAAGAATGATTTTATCAATAATTGCGTACGTCATTATTATGTTTTTGTTTCAAGCTACCACACCACGTTATCTTTGTTTAATGCTTTTATTATGGTATTTTATTATTATTTTAATAATGACATAATTGATGTTAATGTCATTACTACTTACGATTCAAAAGTAAGAAGCTCATTTTTCATTCATATAATTAAAGAAACATTTAATATTTATGCATAATATATATAACAGGTACAATTATGTCTTTATTTTCAGTCTATCACTGACGACCTCCGTAGCCGAGTGGCTTACAAGCCAATTTCAAGGTGTAACCATATCAGAGGTCCCAGGTTCAATTCCCGGTCAGGTCAATGTGTAGAAAAAATAACTTTTCCTAGATGTCTCGGGTCTGAGGGTTGTGACACTTTTGTTTCCTCAGATTTAGGTACTTTACTCATCTTGGAAGTTGAGCTATGTATGAGACATTTTTTGAACGACGACATCTTTGGTTAATAATTGCATGCGTCATTATTATACCAATATTTTCAGTCTACTACACATCCTAAACTATGTCTTGTGTTTTGTTAATGTTCGCATATATAGAGTCTTTAGGTTCTGATAACTCTGTATCTTTAGTTGAGTTATTTGCTTCATTTGATAAACTAGGTATAAAACCTGTGATCAAACCGATACATTTTTTTAAAATTATCTATATTTAATGCTTTCATCTAATTCAAGCAACATTTATATTACAATAAAGATATACAATTATACATATCCATAAATCACTCACCATTTTTCATTATATCATCTAAGTTTTTCCATATATAATCTGAGTCAATAATTTCTGACACCTGAAACATGTATAACGTATTTGTTGATATTATTTAGAGATTATTAAGAAATATTAAAAAGAATACAATTTTATTCTAGATTATTATCAACTTACAGGGCTTGGTGTCGTTGAGGCTTCACCATTGTTAGAATCGGGAGATGAAGCTGTGAAAAATAAACACTTTGTTAAGAATTGCACGTATCTTTATTATACCCGTATTTTCAGTCTCCCACACATCGTTACCTTTATCAGATTTTTTATGAATATTACCATATATATATTCAATACCTTTTGTTATCTCTGGATCATTGTTTGAATTATTTGTGTCATTTGATAAACCAGATATAGAATCTGTAATTGAACCCACACAATTTTAACTACATAGTTTATATTCAGTGATTAATTTTTAGTCTAGAAACATATTACATTATAATAAATATATGCGATGAGATAGATACATAAATTAGATGAATAAATCACCCACCATTTCCCATTATTTCGCCATAGTTTTTCCATATATATTCTGAATCAATTATTTCTGCCACCTGAAACATGTATAAAGAATTGGTTGATATTAGTAATTCCATAATGAGTATCTTGGTGGCATAGTGGATAAGCACCTCGTTGTTGTTAAGCAACTTTCGCAAGAGTCGGTTACAGCGTAGGTGACCAAAAATTATTATCTCGAGCTACTCCATGCTTCGGAAGACACGTTATACCGTTGGTCCCGGCTACATTCACAGTCGTTAATACCAATTTGCATTGGACCAGCGTGGAATTGGTCATAATTTACGTAAATTATCAATTTTCTGGTTATGATTACATGTATGTCTACTTTTAAATAGCTGAAATTTGTGTGTCCTTTCCTTTCATGACTGACGCATTGCCTTATTTAAATTCGTATAATTTTATTATCAACTTACAGGGCTTGGTGTAGTTGAGGCTTCACCATTGTTAGAATCGGTAGATGAAGCTGTGAAAAATAAACATTGTTATTAAGAATTGCATGTATCTTTATTATACCCGTATTTTCAGTCTCCCACACATCGTTACCTTTATCTGATTTTTTATTAATATTACCATATATATATTCTATACCTTCTGTTAACTCTAAATTATTGTTTGAATTATTTGTGTCATTTGTTAAACCAGATATAGAATCTGTAATTAAACCCACACAATTTTAACTACAATGTCTATATTCAGTGATTAATTTTTAGTCTAGAAACATATTACATTATAATAAATATATGAGATGAGATAGATACATAAATTAGATGAATAAATCACCCACCATTTCCCATTATTTCGCCATAGTTTTTCCATATATATTCTGAATCAATTATTTCTGCCACCTGAAACATGTATAATGAATTGGTTGATATTAGTCATTCCATAATGAGTATCTTGGTGGCATAGTGGATAAGCACCTCGTTGTTAAGCAACTTTCGCAAGGGTTGGTTACGGGGAAGGTGACCAAAAAATTTTTATCTAGAGCTACTCCGTGCTTCGGAAGACACGTTATACCGTTGGTCCCGGCTGCATTCGCAGTCGTTAATACCAATCCGCATTGGACCAGCGTGGAATTGGTCATAATTTACATAAATTATCAATTTTCTGGTTATGATTACATGTATGTCTACTTTTAAATAGCTGAAATTTGTGTATCCTTTTCTTTCATGACTGACGCATTGCCTTATTTAAATTCGTATAATTTTATTATCAACTTACAGGGCTTGGTGTAGTTGAGGCTTCACCATTGTTAGAATCGGTAGATGAAGCTGTGAAAAATAAACATTTTGTTAAGAATTGCACGTATCTTTATTATACCCGTATTTTCAGTCTCCCACACATCGTTACCTTTATCAGATTTTTTATGAATATTACCATATATATATTCAATACCTTTTGTTATCTCTGGATCATTGTTTGAATTATTTGTGTCATTTGATAAACCAGATATAGAATCTGTAATTGAACCCACACAATTTTAACTACATAGTTTATATTCAGTGATTAATTTTTAGTCTAGAAACATATTACATTATAATAAATATATGCGATGAGATAGATACATAAATTAGATGAATAAATCACCCACCATTTCCCATTATTTCGCCATAGTTTTTCCATATATATTCTGAATCAATTATTTCTGCCACCTGAAACATGTATAAAGAATTGGTTGATATTAGTAATTCCATAATGAGTATCTTGGTGGCATAGTGGATAAGCACCTCGTTGTTGTTAAGCAACTTTCGCAAGAGTCGGTTACAGCGTAGGTGACCAAAAATTATTATCTCGAGCTACTCCATGCTTCGGAAGACACGTTATACCGTTGGTCCCGGCTACATTCGCAGTCGTTAATACCAATTTGCATTGGACCAGCGTGGAATTGGTCATAATTTACGTAAATTATCAATTTTCTGGTTATGATTACATGTATGTCTACTTTTAAATAGCTGAAATTTGTGTGTCCTTTCCTTTCATGACTGACGCATTGCCTTATTTAAATTCGTATAATTTTATTATCATCTTACAGGGCTTGGTGTAGTTGAGGCTTCACCATTGTTAGAATCGGGAGATGAAGCTGTGAAAAATAAACACTCTGTTAAGAATTGCACGTATCTTTATTATACCCGTATTTTCAGTCTCCCACACATTGTTACCTTTATCAGATTTATTATGAATATTACCATATATATATTCAATACCTTTTGTTATCTCTGGATCATTGTTTGAATTATTTGTGTCATTTGATAAACCAGATATAGAATCTGTAATTGAATCCACACAATTTTAACTACATAGTTTATATTCAGTGATTAATTTTTAGTCTAGAAACATATTACATTATAATAAATATATGCGATGAGATAGATACATAAATTAGATGAATAAATCACCCACCATTTCCCATTATTTCGCCATAGTTTTTCCATATATATTCTGAATCAATTATTTCTGCCACCTGAAACATGTATAAAGAATTGGTTGATATTAGTAATTCCATAATGAGTATCTTGGTGGCATAGTGGATAAGCACCTC